ATCCCGTGTCAACAAAAAACCAGGATAGGAAAAAATATATACTGTATATATATTTGGTCCTAGGTGGTATCCGAACACACGTACCACGGTAACAAGAAGCAAAAAAAAAAAAAAAACTGATACCTAAAAACAGAGCTTTCTTCACACGGATATGTGGTTTACATACTAGAATTTATATTTTTGAGTGTTATTTTTACACTTGGAAGTCATTTTTAAGTATTATATATATAGGAATTTTGTCTTTAAATAATATTAACATAATGATATTTTGATTTTTATGCAGGCCTATAATTAATAACTTGTAAAACTATGCGATTTCGGCAGCATGATCAGAAGAACAATTATGAAAATGTCATGTTATTTTTCAGATATCAAATTTAAAATAGTTAATTATATAAAAAGAAAAAAAATTAAGACACGTTTAATTTTTAAAGACAAGACAAACAGAAAGAAAAATATGCTGTCGACTCGGTGTGTTAGTGATTTCACGAAATTTAAATGATCAAAACATAAATAAAATACGTCTGTCAGAACTCCTATGGAAGAAAAATCCATTCTTCCCGAATCATGTTTTTAATATTTCTAAACTCTCGGATGATTTCACTCAAAATAAAAAAAAACACGAAGAATGTAAAACTTAACTCCGCTATTCAAAAATCTCCAACAGAAACGAAATCAAAAGCATAAAAATTTACAGTAGAATGTCGAATATCCATAAACATAAGTCCATAAAAAATAACCCCAAGCTCCAACGTTTCTTACTTGGAAATTACTTGTATGTAATAAAAAAAATGTAATATAAAGTCTCCGTTAACCATTACACCTTTGACAAAATACAGAAATAAAGTAAAAAAAAAAAAAATAATAAATAAAATTCTTAAAATGGTTTTTTTGGGCAAGAGTTTATTATATTGTTAAATTAATGGTGACTGTAGATGATGTGATATGACTTAAAACCTAGGAAATAATCTCTTAATATATAATAATAAAATATATATAAACTAACCGAATTTTTCACATCTCTTACACTATGAAAAAAACAGATATATATGTTACGGGATGTCCAAATAATTTTAATATCTTTACAGGTTACATTCACGAAACAATTATTTATTAAAACATTCTTACGAATGTCCTCGTAATTTTAACGTTGAGAGATGTTTTGAATTAATTTCTGACATTATTATTAATATATCTATCAGATTTACTCATTTTTTATTATATAATTTTTAAAAAAATTTGCCTTTGATGTAGATAAATGATTTTTCATGTAATAGTGACATAAATAAATTCTATCACTCAGTAGCGAAGTTTGCATCAAGAAACAGAAAGTAATTCGCGAAACACGCTTTTTCTTTTCTTTTTTTAATTTCTGAAGGTTGAATATGAATAAATTATGAAGCATTTAATTTAAATTAAACCTTTTCATCATTTATTCATTCAAAGTTTCAAAGCATTCTCACTTAATTATCTCGAATAAATCTGCCAAAAGATAATTTATAACCCATTTCGACTGAAGTATGATGGCTCGAATCTTTGCCAATGGGAATTTTAGAGTGGAGGAAATCCAATAGAAATCTATTTCATGTATTTCTCTTAATATATCAACAGTTTCTGAGATATAATAACAGAGTTTATATTTTAAGTAAACTTTAATAAAAATAAAGTTTTCGTTTAATATTCAACCCCTTAAAAAAATCGGAAATCTTCTGAAATACAGTACAGTACATTAAATAATGTAAAAGAGAGTCAGGAAAAATTAAGATTTTTACTTAAACATTATATATATATTTTTTTCCATCTGATATACTTGATGAATAAAATATTTGAGTCCACTCTTTATTTTTTTTTACGTTTAATTTTGATATAAAGATTTATTTTTCTCTATAATCATACAAGATCTGACTAAATATAGCTTATGTTGCTTTTTTTTTATCTGAGAAAAATTCTCGTACGATTCGAGAATATTCAGTAGATAAAGCCTTGAGGCCTACTGTTCGTGTTGCAGAAATAGCAATTTTTCTTTGTTTCAACGTGACTGATGATTTTAAAAATTCCAGATAACTAGTTGCTGATTTTAGAGCTGGATTTTATCTGTTTGCTTATATGTTGATCAAATTTGGCCAGATGGACTACACTGGACTCTTATCATCGACATAGTTTGTCAGTCGGGTACATCGGCAGCATTTTCAACATGTTACGAGAACCTTATCGAGAGGACCAATAAATTTTTCTTCTTCGCTAGAGGAAGAAAAAAAAAAAAAAAGAGAGAAAACTCGGCATACTTCTTGCTTTTTAAATAAACTTATTCGAACATTTAATCTGGCGAATATATTTCACTTTTGTTTTGTAATTTAACTGTAAATTATTAGACTTTAATGAAGATTTTAAGTACCACCAATAACTAAAAATGAACTGAAAAGTATAAATTACAATTAACAGGTATGCTTCAAAAGAATTAATCAGTTTTTTAGTAATAAAATGTGAACTTTAACTATGCTGGAAAGAAGTAAACAATCTGCTTTTGTTGTAACAATTATATATAAGAAAAAAAAAAGTCAAATTCTACTCATCTGGGGTTTACTTTCAAGAATAGAATAATCGGGCCCTATTATTATGTATAATCTGTATTATTAACATCTAAAAAAACAATGCCTATGTAAACAGGTGGTCTAAAAATGCAAGAATTTAAACTGCTTAGTATTCAAATAATACATAAAAATAATTTATTTAGTTTAAATACAGTATGATAATGCTATACAGTTAAGAATCTTCCCACTAATTCCCTAAGACTAGTATCCTGCTAGAATATATACAAAAAAAAATAAAAATAAAATAAAATAACTGATGAGGTAAGTAATAAAAATATATGCAAATATCTGTTTATAAAATAACTAAGTGTAAACGTTATGAATATTATTTAAGAGTATATTTTACTAGTTAACAACTCGAATTTTCATTAATATGTGATAGCCTTTTCCACACACCAAAAAAAAATATATAAAAATAAAACTTTTAATAGAGTCAGTGTGTAAACAATACTTAAAAATGGAGCCTAAAAATACAAATATTAAAAACTGGTTATGCAAATATTATAATAAGAGTAAGATTTAATAACCCAGACTATCTAAAATATGCATGTAATGTATATACTCACACATACTAAAAGGTATAATAATTGAATGGATGATTTGAATAAGCAAACAACATCGAAAGTATAAAGTCCTGTAGATAAATCCCGTGTCAACAAAAAACCAGGATAGGAAAAAATATATACTGTATATATATTTGGTCCTAGGTGGTATCTGAACACACGTACCATGGTAACAAGAAGCAAAAAAAAAAAAAAAACTGATACCTAAAAACAGAGCTTTCTTCACACGGATATGTGGTTTACATACTAGAATTTATATTTTTGAGTGTTATTTTTACACTTGGAAGTCATTTTTAAGTATTATATATATAGGAATTTTGTCTTTAAATAATATTAACATAATGATATTTTGATTTTTATGCAGGCCTATAATTAATAACTTGTAAAACTATGCGATTTCGGCAGCATGATCAGAAGAACAATTATGAAAATGTCATGTTATTTTTCAGATATCAAATTTAAAATTGTTAATTATATAAAAAGAAAAAAAATTAAGACACGTTTAATTTTTAAAGACAAGACAAACAGAAAGAAAAATATGCTGTCGACTCGGTGTGTTAGTGATTTCACGAAATTTAAATGATCAAAACATAAATAAAATACGTCTGTCAGAACTCCTATGGAAGAAAAATCCATTCTTCCCGAATCATGTTTTTAATATTTCTAAACTCTCGGATGATTTCACTCAAAATAAAAAAAAACACGAAGAATGTAAAACTTAACTCCGCTATTCAAAAATCTCCAACAGAAACGAAATCAAAAGCATAAAAATTTACAGTAGAATGTCGAATATCCATAAACATAAGTCCATAAAAAATAACCCCAAGCTCCAACGTTTCTTACTTGGAAATTACTTGTATGTAATAAAAAAAATGTAATATAAAGTCTCCGTTAACCATTACACCTTTGACAAAATACAGAAATAAAGTAAAAAAAAAAAATAATAAATAAAATTCTTAAAATGGTTTTTTTGGGCAAGAGTTTATTATATTGTTAAATTAATGGTGACTGTAGATGATGTGATATGACTTAAAACCTAGGAAATAATCTCTTAATATATAATAATAAAATATATATAAACTAACCGAATTTTTCACATCTCTTACACTATGAAAAAAACAGATATATATGTTACGGGATGTCCAAATAATTTTAATATCTTTACAGGTTACATTCACGAAACAATTATTTATTAAAACATTCTTACGAATGTCCTCGTAATTTTAACGTTGAGAGATGTTTTGAATTAATTTCTGACATTATTATTAATATATCTATCAGATTTACTCATTTTTTATTATATAATTTTTAAAAAAATTTGCCTTTGATGTAGATAAATGATTTTTCATGTAATAGTGACATAAATAAATTCTATCACTCAGTATAATAATTCACAATGTACACATTTTTAAAAAATATTTTAAATCATTAATAATATTTCTTTTATTTTTTAAAAAAAAGCATGATTTTATATTTAATTTCTAGTTTTTTTTCCCGTATATTAAATAGGAAAATAATTGACACGATGTAAATTTTCATGTAGGCCATACTCCAAATTTGAAATCTGCCATTATTTTTAATTATTAAGACTATGATATACAAATTTATATCATGGATCTATATAAAGAAAAACTAACAGAATAAAAATATGTATTTGAATTAAAAAGCAGAATATTTTTCAGTAGAAAATAATTAAATGCACATTTTTAAAGAACTAAATTTAACTCATAATTATAGTCTCTCGGAAATTAAATATTTAATCGTTTTAAATTTTAATATATTATACACAGTGTATGTTCTTATATATATATATATAAATAAAAAAATTCTATACATTATATCATACCTTGACAGCCCTGTCCGAGTGATTCATAACCGGCCATGCATTTGCAACCTCCAGAAGGTAAAGTCCAATTGCCATCGCCTTTACAAAGAAGTCTCGGCGTGTCCACAATGGCGGCATTGGCAACACACTGTCCTTCAGCAGGCACTATAGCAGTCACTTCTTTTCCGGTAGGTGTAGAGGGAAAATATGCAAAATTCCTAGTTACGTTGGGGCAGGTAACGTAATATATCTTAATAGCAATCAGAGACAAACAAGCACCTTGGTCTCTAAATGCGAAATAAACGCCTTTCTTTGTAATCGGTATACTTCTGGTTTCGGTGTTAATGATCACTTCGCTAGTTGAAGTAAATCTTCCTTCGTCGGCTGCTATCCTGTCGATGAGTTTATAAGATTCTGGTTCCCATGGTGGGGGCTCTTTTGTGGCCGCATCAAATTCGTAATATAAAAGAGAAAAAGTCTCCTTGCACGACAGAGCCATACCGGGAAATAGATTACAGTCTCTCATGCTAAATTTCACTTCAATATACATTCTATTTGCTTCACCCCGCTCGATGAATGGTGTCCACAGCCAATTGTTGACGTTTGTGTACGCCACGTCACAAACCACGTACGATCTCCAGTTGATACCTATTTGAAAGTTGGTAAAGCTTTCCTCGACCCACTGAAAGAGAAAATTAACAAAATGTTAGGTTTTCTACCGTTAAAATTTCTACACAAATCCGCCTATTATAAATCTTACACAAGTTCTTTTTTCTGTGGAGGTTGTTTTTTTTAATACAGATTTCCCCCTCCTATCAATGAATATAGTTTAATTGCATTCGTTTTAAATAGCACGCCTAATATAATTTATTTGATTAGAAAGAAACCGACCACTTACAGATTAGATATCTCAATGACAGTTATACCAATTTATTTTTCCTTTTGACTCAGCGCTATATTATAAGGATTAAACACACTGAAGGAATTACTTCCACTACTTAAATCTGGTTCTCATTAAATCTAAACATAAATTATAGACATATTTTCTGTTAGTTTTAGATCAAGTAGCCATTAAGTTCTCAATAATTAAACAAATTTGAATTGCAAAAATAATTAAAATTCCAGAAGAAATATCGACAAGAAAACAAAATAAAATAAATATATAATGAACTTTTAATCGTTCATTCCTTATCAAAATTCGATTTTTGAAGAAACAAAATCGACATGATCGATCGCAGGAGTAACAGAACACCGTAACGACACTAATATATTAACTGTTCTATAAAAAATTCATACAAACTACCGNATTTAGAAAGGAAAAAAAAAAAAAAAAAGACTTTATTTCGGAAATAATAATAATAGTAACAGTAAAATTTTGTAAATAAACAATAATGATGAAAGCAAAATGGATGCTGTAAAGGATTATAATTAATAATTATCGCCATCTAGTTAAATAATAACTGTAAAGTATAATTACATACAGTTAATTGTTAACTGTATTATATAAAGACTTTTTTAAATATGTAAATAAAACTAATTAGGCTATATTTATTCAGTTTGTAAAAATAAAAGTCGAATCGAACCAACGAGAAATGGTGTAAAAATTTCTCCAATTTCTCGGAATATAAATCCCACTTGTCATATATAAAACAGAAATTAGATAAAGATCTTCAATAAAGATAAAAGTGCATAATAAAATAACATTCGATCCCTTCAAAATCATATAAAATTTATGCACTTTCAATAACTTTTACTCGCATAATAGCATATAAGCTAATCTAATATACGGTTATGAATATTAGCGAGGTTGCGGTGGAAGTTTTCGTCTGTAAAACGTGAACGTCGAACGTCGAGCGCCTCTATCTTCTAAGCGGCTCTCGACGTTCGACGTTCACGTTTTACAGACGAAAACGTCGGCCGCAACCTCTCTAATATATATATATAGAATATATATAAAAATTAACGCTATTTTTTAACGCATAAATCTAATTTATGAATGATAAAATAATCAGCAAACTATTTAAGAATATCTTAATTAAATGATATCTGTTAACGAAGATAGAAATTTAATATCGTTAAACGATATTAAATTTCTATCTTCGTTAACAGATATCTTAATTAAATGATATCTGTTAACGAAGATAGAAATTTAATATCGTTAGTATTATTACGCATGGATGAAGATCGATCTTAACAAATTTTATTTTATTTTTTTTTTTACATTTCACGCTTGATAAATATTTAAATTTAATGTAATTCAAGAAGCTTACGAGATGATATTTTGTTAAATATAGACTATAAAGATGTTGATATTTTTTTCTTTCACGTTGTAAATAAAATAATTAACGAATGCTTACGTTCAATAACCCTATAATTTCGATGTTTTTTTTTCTTTAATATATAAAATTATCTATAGGTCTATATCTGTGTTAAACTATATGACTAGCTTAACTATAAATTAAATTATATTAGTTTAATTATTGTAGCAGAAACATGCCGCTTGTAATTATCTCGTGTGATGATTTTATCAGTAATTCTCATTTAGTTTAAACTCTATTCGAAATCATTAAGTAATGACATTGGTCATAGATAGTGATTATGAATAAATAAAACAAAGACAGAAAAAAATTGAACATCGTCGATTAAGCGAAAACTACGTGAAAGGAATTTTCTAATTGAACAAAAGTATAGAAGATGACGTGATATTTATTACACGTCATCTTCTCTAGAGATAAAAATAATCAGGAAAAAGGAACAGCCATAAATTCTTAGACTATTAAATAACGATCGCATGTGTTTATTGATATCAAACAATATATATTAACTTGAAGCGGATCTATTTGTAGATATATATATATATATATGGCTGTGAATAAGTATTTTAATATATAATAATTACAGAATTTATGGAGATGTTCGTATTAGACAGCATTTATAGAAAAGCGTGTTACAAAGCAATTAATATGCAACTGAAAACACTAATTTAAGGAAAGGAAATATAAATAATTAAATAGTAATTACTTTTTGAAAATCGAATTTTTTAATTTTTTAAAAGTCCAAAAATAAAATTAACGTTTTCCATGAAGAAAGTTAATCAATCGTTCATTATTGCTATCTTCGTAATCAACTTATTATCTCATTTACTTGATGAAAAGTAAAATTTCTCTTAATTATGAGTTCTATTTTAAGAGAAATTACAAATGGAATATTAATGATTGAGCTTTATTGCTATTCTAAATTTAATCACAGACTAAAATAATTTATTCAATTATTAATTAAATTCTTTTTATAAACTCAATTAAGATTATTATGATTTTTATTCGAATTTATCAAAAATTCTGTAAAAAATCCACTGGTTTTTTTCCACTTAATTATTAAGAAAATAAGGGAATAAAATGATATACAGTATATCTTTCCTTCTTTGTTTTATAAACTGAAAATATCTACTTGGGAAAACATGATGATAAAAGGATACTCAATTTTATTGTTATAAAGCTAACAATAAAATTATTTTAATGTGTTCCTCTAAAAAAAAAGGGAAGAAAACAAGAATTATAATGGAGAAAATACCAGTTTAATAATCTCTTAATCCGATATTTAGTTATTGATTCATTGTAAGTGGAAGCAAAACATTGTTATATGCTTTATAATTCTGTATATATATATATATCTTTTAATAATATAAATTATCTAAATAACTTTCATTTGTTTGAATATGTCTTGTATGGAGAAGACATTGAAGATTTCTTGTAATTCTATTCAGATAATCAGATATTTTGGTTGCTTTTTAAACTGACTTTTAAAAATAAATCCATTTAAAAAGCTTAAAACAAATCAGTAGCAGCTTGTTCTTTTTTTTTAAAACTAAATATAAATTGAAATAAAATGTTATAACGCTAATTATATTAATTTGCATGTATAATAATCATTTAATTATATACACGAAAATAATGATACTAAATGCAATATTATATACTGCTTTTCTTTGATAAAAAATCATTATTTACATAGAGAAAGATTGTTGATACTTTAATTTTACAATAAAACTCGAAGAAAATAAAAATGTATTAGTTTAATTTCGAATTTAAATTTGTAATAAGTTGCTATATTGCTGTACCTTTTCCTTCTAACCTAAAAATTAAACACGTAGATGAGATCATGCGAAGAACTTCATAATTGGCTACATTCTACAGAAAAAAAAAATCAATAAACTAATTACATTTACAACCAAAAATTACTTTAATGTTTAGTTAGATGATTATTTTTGCTTTTAATAGAATAAGACTAATCCAAAACGGTAGTAATTTGTAACATTTGAATAAAAGAGCGTGAAGTAATATGCCTATAAATTTGCACATTAATCAAATTTATCCGAGAATGAATTGCAGGTAGCTATAGTTTCTAATTGCACTTTCAAAACGATTAATGCAGTTTAAGTAATTAACAAAGTAGGATATATATATATATATATAGCATTAATAAATTTGGTTGTCTACTAACATCCAATTCCACCATAGCCTAAAATAGAGAATGTATAAAAAAGAAAAGAAACTTTTAAATAATATGTATGCTTAATAAATACTATTAGAAATTAGAAAATTAAATGATTTATTATTCTAATTAACCATTGAAACTTGTGAATTTAATGTAAGTGGAAGAGGAAAATCTGATTCGGTTTACTGTTACCTCGAAAGTAAGCATAATAATCATTACAAGGCCAACCGATTATCATTATCCTTCAATTTTCCTATACCGTTTTAATTCAAAATTTCCGTTGTTGCCTATCCGTTAACGCTCAATAGTTTTATTAATGAGGGTCGTGATGTTAGTTGCTATATCTAGTATTAAATATTACATATATATATATACATTCTTTAAGTATATACGTGTTTAAAATTCAATTTAAAAGTTTAATAAATCTTACAAGTCTACTTGTATAGTTGATCGTAATAAAAAGAAAAGTTTATTGATTTTACTATGATTGAATGTATGATATTAATAGTTATATCTGGTTCATAAATTTGATTGATCGTGTACAAAAAAAAAACAATAACATGTAGAGATATTTTTAATTATAGCATTTGATACTATATTATAGCAAAAACCACTGAGAAATACAATCTTTATTTACATAAAACTAGATGAAAAGTTCTAAAACGTAAATAAAATAAAATAAATTTAAGAAGGGAAAAAAATTATGAAATAATTTAATTGTGAATGGCTATTTAAAATTCTTTCAAAGAATACTTGAAAAGTTAAATACGTAAAAAGAAAAAATATAAGCTAATAACGTATCATCATTTAGATTAAATTCAAAAAGACTGAAATAAAATCAAGTATTAAATCATTAGCTACTTTTAGAAAAGTAAACAGCATAAATAGATCTTGTTATTTCTTTAACTGAACAAAAATATTCCATATAATAATAAATGAGAAACGAATCCAGTATTTTCCATCCACATAATAGACTAGAACTACTAATGATTCACGGGAATAGTTATTAGTGGTGCAGCAATGTTCTTGCTGTCACTTCTGTGTAAAAAGTCAATTTGACAGGATTTTGCATGGTTATTAAGAGCATGTGGAAGTTCTCACTTTTTCTTTTATGCACTGTCATCTTTCTTCCATAAAGACTCGTAACGAGTATGTGCTAATTCTGTATAGTACTCTTCCATTTAAAACCTATTCAACAGCGGGAGATCAAATGAATTCTTTTTATCGCATCTGACTGACTTCCTCATAAAAGATTTATATATCATTTCAATAGGAGAATAAAAGAATGGAAAAATTTGTTTCTCTGGTAGATACTACAAAGTTTTTATATAATTAAAAGTAACTGGATAGAATTATGATAATAAAGAATATGGGTGGCCTATTATTTTTTTCAAGATTATATAGAGGAAGACAAAGGGTGGCCTAGCAATTCATTCCTTAATTATGAACAGTACTTCTGTATATATATAAGCTTACATAATTAAGAAATTATCTAGGTATAGAAAAATTCTTTCTTTAATCACGCATATATTAAATATGGTGATGAGAAAGAGGAGATGTTTGCATTAGAGATTTATATAACTTATTTAAAA